CAGCTTGGAGTACGGGGCTCCTATGCGCCGCCAGCTCTTGCCGCGAGAGGTTGCTTGTTTCGTCTTCCCAACAATGTGGCGCCGTCAAGGCTGAGCTCAAAGGCACCCTTCTGTCTGTTGCGGTCTCTAACCTGTTGGCGAGCTGCAGCCGTGACAGTTGCCGAGTGTTGGCCGTAACCCTTCTCGTTAGCTGCAGGCGCTTGACGCTCACGCTCGCGTCCGCGATGCTCTTGCTGATCCTTAATCTGGGCATTACGCATGCTCTGCTCGAGTGCTTGTGTCGCCTGCGATGGCTTGTGGACGTATTCAGCCTCCTTGTTCTCGGCCATTTCCGCATCTTCATCCTCTGATTCCTCGTTAAGGTTGTTGAGGAAGCGAGCGGGAACACCGCCCTTGGTGCCAACTTGCTTCCGGCGCTTGGCCTCTTCCTCTTGCCTGTGAACAGCGTATCCGACGTCAAACACTTCACGCAAGTTGACCGCACCGGGGGAACGGAAGTCGTAGCGACGGTCGCCATCGTTGATTCTGTTGGCATCGAATGCGCGCAGCATATCGGGCTGCGTCTTCTTCTCGTCACGAGGCGTTGGGCCAGAGCCCTTGATCCAAGGGTGGGCGAGGAATTCAGTGATGGTGTATCTCTTCTCAGGGTCCACGGTGAGAAGGTGGGAAATGAGGTCTTGGGCAGATTTGGAAATATCATCCCACCAAGGGGACAAGAAAGTGTACTGGCCCTTAGCAACCTTCTCCGTCAACACCTCGATGCTTTCGTCGTAGAAAGGAGGAAAACCGCAAAGCAACGTGTAGAGGACACAACCCAATGCCCACATGTCGACCGACTTCGAGTAGCGCTCATCCTTGACAATTTCGGGAGCTGTGTATCCGACAGTGCCGCAGGGCGTCATGGTTTGGTTATCCCACACGATCTTGGACAGGCCAAAATCGGCGATCTTGATTTGGCCAATGCCACCCGCACCAACGCCTGGGATGAAGTCGCCCTCATCAACCTTGTCTTCATCGCCAGGCTGCTTAGGCTTGGGGTTCTTGGACGGAATGACCGGGATCGGGCTGAAGAGGATGTTTTCAGGCTTGATATCACTGGGACATTGCAAGTTAGTCAACTGAACGACCGAATGACGTCACGGAAAGATGCATAGTCGGCGCTCCCACCACCCACTGCCTCGATCTCATCGGTGTGGGCTGGTGACAAGCAAACTGTGTCGTACTTACCGATGAACTACGCCCCTCTCCTCGTGCAAGTACTCCAAAGCCTGCGCAACCTGCACGATGACGTGCCTCGAAAGTTCCTCGCTGAAGTACGTGAGGCGAACAATCTGGTGGAAAAGCTCGCCACCAGGCGCCAACTCCAAAATGATGTAGTAATATTGCCGGGATTCGGAAAAATCAATCAACTTGATGATGTTCGGGTGATCAAGCTGTCGCATGATTTGGACCTCTTTCAAGATGTTTGCTCTCTACGCTGAGGTCAGCAAACGTGTCCGTCAAGCAAATGGAAGGCCATCCTCGAAATAACAGTGACTGTAGAACAACATGAAAGTGTCGAAAAGTGAGAATGGCCCGAATAGTAGACAAATGAAATATAGAAAGTTTTCGCACCTCTGCAGCCTTGGGGACCTTCTTGAAGTCCGGATGTAAATGCTTGTTTCCCTAATCACGACCCTCGGTTGGTATGGGAATGCTCCAAAAGGCTCAAATCAAAAACAACAACGCAGCGAACAAAAAGCGAGAAAATCATGGTCGCGGCCGTAACCACCCAAGCAATAACTCACCTGCATACTGTTCATTTCATACTTGCGAACGACCTTGATGGCACACTCGCCGGGGTGCTCGCCAGTAGTATCGCGCGCGCGGTAGACGTTGCTGAAGGCACCGTCGCCCATCTTTTCGACCAATTCCCATCTCTCCAAGCCGGGATATCTCGGGAATTTACTCCTGCTCTCGTTCTCCTCGGCCACAAGCTTGGCCAAGTGTGTGTTGTCGATGTTCTTGCCGGCCTTGGACGTCTTGTACTGGTTCGGCTCGGCGGCGTGGGCGGCTGCGTGGTTTGCCTGAGCGACGCGGTTCTGGCCATCGCCAGCAACTGAGTACGCCTCGGGAATCGCCTGAGCAGGTGGTGCGGCGGCATACGCAGGCTCTGACACGCCTACATGCGCCTTAGGCGGCGGGGACTGCTTGGCCGCCGGCTCATCGTTGTTCGCTCGAGCTTGCTTTCCTACACATATATAGCGTCAGCAAATTGGTAGCCAACGAGAGTGTTCAAGTCGCCAAGGAGAATCGGGGCACGACATGAGCAAACAGCTCGATTCGTGAAAGAACCCAGTGCGCCGACGAGGCAAAGGAAGAGAGGGGACATCATACCGTGTCGGATAAAGTTCTTAAGCTGCTGTATCGTCGACATGATGCTAGATTGGGCCGCTACGGAGGACGACGTTATGTGAGGTTATTCGCAAAGTTAGGTTTACGCAGCACACGTCGCAGTAATCGGCGGCTGAATCGGTCGACCTGCCCCGTGTTGAGGGGACGTTCGATGTTTGAGTGTGATTGGTAATGCGGAGACGGCAAAGCACGAGTCGTGGGAATATGCTCGGTGGGCGATGCGGTACTTTGAATCCTGGGCAAAGTTGGAATGGATTGTTGTATCACGAGAAGAGAGAAGTGAGGAAATGTCGGAGTCGACAGAAGCGGGTGCAAGGTTGTTTCTTTGTGAATGGGGGAAGGGGGAATCAGCGGCTGAAAGGGAGAAATTGTTGCGAGGAAGAGGAATTTGTGGACTGCGGCGAGCGTTGGTGATGTTGGCGGAGGGGCAACGTGGACTCGGATGACGGAAGTTGGAGGAGCAGGCAGCTGGAGATCGGGCGGGAAGACGGGCAGCAGCAGCAGCACGTTTGTCTTGGTTAGAAGAGGCCGGGGGACCAAGCGAAAGGGAAGGGCGAAAAAGGGCAGACGGCGCTAGGGGCCGCACCAAAGCAAGGTAGAAAGAGGGAAATAGGTATGGATTTGGAGCCGGGGAGGGGTGTTGGTTGGGTTCAGGTTGACAGGGCCAGGCGAAGAAGAATGGTAGACGATGACGGCGTGTTCTGCCAGTAGTCGCTGTAGGTAGGCAAGGTACCTCCTTCGTAGGGTAGTTTGGTGTGCGAACAGGGTAGAGTTACTTTGCGGCACGTACCGTGCGACAAGTTGGGAGAAGTCAAAGACTTGGAATTTCTGGGGTGGGCGAGGACACTAGAGTGCAGAGGGGGGAGTGTGCGTTGCTCCGTCCTGGTCTTCGGAAGTGGCACGCAGAGACGGGCTGACTACCGTACTGGACAGTAGACTGGCCCGGTTGACTGGATTTGAGCGATGATGATGACAGAGGTTTGGTGGACAAGTGTCAGATGAGGCAGCTGTTCGCCCAGCGAGGTGTGTGAGAGGCCGGGAGTGAGGGCGTGTGAAAGGTCGCGCAAGTTGGACAGTGTGCAAAGACAGGCTGCGGTCGGAGCTATAGATGCGCAAGGTGATGATGATGATGATGATGATGTAAAAGGTCGATGGGCCTTAGTTTTATTTTGGAACCCTCGGTGAACCAGCCGAGCGTGAATCAGTGTAGCGACGGGAGGTGCAAGAGGAAGAGCGACCCGAGCTTTGTCAGGTGAGAGGCTGAGGGGAAGAAAAGGTAAGAGCATCAGTCATCAACGGCACCCGTGGAGGGGCTTCTTTTTTCCTCTTCTCGTGCTTCCCTCATCATGTGTCTCCCCGTTGCAGTCAGTTTACCTTTGGTCTGGACGATGATTAAATGCACAGAATACACAGATAGACAGATGTGATGGATATATGGTTGGGAAAGCGCAATGAAACAAGTATCTAAGCAAGGTAGTCATTTGCTTCCTTCCCAGATATTCTCTCCTCAGCGAGATGGTTTGTGTGGTGTTTTGCTCGTCAAAGAAAAGAAGAAAAAAAAGCAGCAGGAGCCAAGGCGGGGTGCTTCCTGGTACTTGGCCAGTGTAGATGTACCTTACCTGGAGGTACCTGAGACCGTAAGGTACCTATACTCCGTACGCGCCTTGAGGTAACCGTGCATGGCTTGGAGAAGGCGCCTCGATACGTCCTGGATTCCTGCCATGCTCGACGAAGGCCAGGCAGAGCGCCTCATACGGGGGAAGGAGCTACTTTGGCTTCTCTCCCTTTCCGGCCAGCATCATGAAAGACACTTTCCTCAACGCGCTCTCCGCGCTGCCGGCGTCGATTTCGCAGATACCTCATGTACACTGGAGGTACCTGGGGATTTCTAATCATTCCAGAGGTGTTCCATCCATCATCTTCCTTGCTTCCTGCCCGCCTCCCGTCGACTGGGAGGAGGAGACATCTTATCTAAGCTTCTCAGCTCAACTCTCATGATGTTTGCAGTCAAACCAATCGACTCGTTTCAAAACGTCCCTCTCACCATCCCAACCCCGGACCCATTCGCCATGTACGGAGCGCCAGATCCAAGATTGCGATTCAGATGGGACAGGGGAATGGCAAGTGCCCAGCAAGGGGCATCAAGAAGCCTCCCTCCGATTCTTTCGTCGATTGTCCGCGGGATTCACTATATACAGGACAGTCTGCACATTTGCTACGCTGAGCCATGTTCTCTATGATGGCGAGGTTCAGGCGAGTGATGACACAGCACTGAAGACAAGAATCGGCACACAGAGACACACAGTTCGACAAACAGACTCCAACTGTGTCTCGACCACGAACGACGCTACGTCGGCGCCAAGGAACCAGAGTTCAGGGGCGCTGGACACGCTAGAGTCGGCCACTTGCGACGTTAAGTTGGGATGATGCATGACATGGCACTGTGTATTTACTGGCAGAATTGACAGTCACTCAGACACATACGGACACAATCACGGCAATCAGCCGGTATCCATCATTCGGGAACTCTCGAAGTTGGCAATACCATCTACAAACATCCGACAGCTCACTGCTGCCCCCATCTCTATCTGGGTCAATCGTACACCATGGCCCCCGGCCGAACAAGGGCTGGGGTCAGACGAGGGCGCGAATCCAAGATGCAAAACTCACATTTTCCCGTCTGCCCTCCCGCCGCCACGTTTCCCAATTCCATGATTTGGGCACCCGGTTGCAGCCAGACACGCACGACACGCCAGGCTTGCCAGTCCCAGGCGCAGAAGAACCAGGTGCCAGGACTCCAGAAGCAGGGCCCGGTTGGCGTGGTCAACCTTGAACCCATGGCTGTGATCCAACCCGTCCCATGGTGCCCATCCAGGATCGGAGCCTGTTCCACTCGCTTGGATGGCGTGGGGCCCCCATTATGACGTCTGCCTCATCGTCATACCCGCTTCTGGCAGGGATAGCATCTTTGGAACCAGACGCCCTGATGCATCATTGGGGGGTAAATATGGATTCGGCCATTTTGCCTGAGGCCACCGGCCAGATTAAGGCATGGCCAGTCAGGGCCCATGATTCATTCCTCTCCGGGGGTACTCCCTCCAACGTTCAGCATGGAGAGTACCTTACTTACTCACTCGCTCAGTCTGACCTGCAACACCAAAAGCTCACTCCCAAATTATCGTCACCATCGTCAACCATCAATGTCTTTTGCAGGGGTCCGCCGCTACTTTTCTCTCTCTTTCTCCTCCACCATTCATGTAGTCGAATTTGCTCGCTGATACACCGCCAGCCTGTCTTAGATTCCAGCCAATTCTCCATTTGAGGCTACTTGGTCTCGTCTCCGCTTCGCATCTTCCCGCATCACTGGGTCACTGTCGCACCGTACCGCTTGCATTGCCCGTTCTGTTTACCGATTGAGCCAATCATATATCACGCTGGATCCACACACCGAGTCACCCCGCGACTAACCATATGCCTCCGAGATGATGATGGGCGACGATGCGCAAGCCACACACGCCACTGTCATTTCACTGACGACGCTTTTCCTTACGCAGTCACTGAGCCTACCTCCTCTAACTAGGTACCTAGGGATTATGGCAACCCATTTCTCATTGATATGCGGGAAATCGGCTAGTCAGATACACCACCCGGCCTCCCGTCCGTCATCCACGCGACGCGGGAGTCTCAGTCGCGAGCTCGGTGTGTACCGCCCCATTTCTATGAGGATAATGAAGATACCTACCGGTACCTGCCTGCCTCATGTGCGAGCAGTGATATCACAACATGGCTCGCTATCAACGAATCGTGATAAGCTGTCTGCTATGTTCAGACTGAGGCTCAACTGCTTCCCTGACGATGTTGGCGCTCATTGGTCAACCATAGGCAGGGCAGATGGGAGTATGGCATCATCAACACCTCGTTCAGCTCTCGTACTTGACACTGGAAAGCTCGTGCTTCTCCTCAGCTAGCCTGACAGACTTGTTAGGTTATCTCACTAATTCTAAACTCGACGCTCTAGCCAAAGATATCTTCATTGCGCTTGTGGCATCACAAACCCGCAAACGGCGAGAACAAGAAGGCCTGAAGCCAGAGCGCCGAATGGACTGGTCCAGACCACTTCTCTGCACGAGCCATATTCTGTCGTCATTCATACATTTTACCTCTCCACGTTTGGCGCGGCTTTGGCCGAATTAGATTTCTAGCCCTTTTCTGCAGTACCAGCCACATCTCGTCCCATCCCAGTCGAACTGCTGTGCTTTCTCAGCCAAACATACCTCGGGAGTATGGCAAACAGAGGTCAGTTCACACTGCGATACATCTCGCGACGGGTAAGCCAGCATTGGATTCAATGGGCCCAACAACTTGAAATCGATAGCAACAAGTCTCGGCGAATCCTCGTCGTCGGACGTGGCTTCTCATCAGCTTTGGCTTAGTCAACAGCTACGCGCAAACATCATAGAAGAGTGAGCGTTCTAAGGGATCAACATTGCGGCCACGGGGGTTTCTAATGCAAACCTAATACCGAGTTTTCAAGGCTCGAGAGATGATGATAACAACGACGCGCCTGTTATTCAGCTCGCTTGACGCGACTTACAAAGTCAAACTCAGACAACCCAAATCGGCTACATGGTCCGCCCTGCTCCTTGAGACTGTCGCTGGTGGAACATGCTGCATTCACGATCATCAGAGCGAGATGGGGCTCACCATCCCGGCGCGCCCAACGCCGTCCCGAGATGATCGTCATGACGAATGGACAGGCCTACCCCTTGGCGCAGCCTACTTGTTGCTAACTCTGCAGGTTGGACGTTGTAAACGCGCGTTGAAATTACGAAGAGACAATACAGCTGCGTTCATGTGCCTCGCTCTAAACCTCCAAAGTGATGCGAAACACCCCTTTGACGTCATGCCTTTTGCCCCCACGCCTGTGGCAGAATAGCGACCGCAGGACGGACTGCACAATGCTGCAATCGGGCACGTGGCACGTCACATCATCACTCCATCGCCATTGGCCACCGGCGTCTCGAAATAAACGGCCTTGAACCATCTCCTGAGTCGACCGTTTGGATGGCAACACGACAATAGTGCGGACGTTTAATCACAACGTTGACGAGCCAGTCGGGCGCTTGCCTCCTTGAGCCGCGGCAACGTATATCCTGACGTCGCGAGACCATCCTTTGCGGCAGTCTCTCCGAACCCATTTGCGGCGGGTTGCAGAACTCTTCAGCCGTAGGACCGTTTGCCCCGGCACCTTTTGGAACAACACTGCAGACAAGTGAGTTTCCACAAATTCCGAGGCTGCAATGTCCACTATGAAGTCATTATAGTCAGGGCGGGCTGGGCCATCTTGTTTCTCACCCCGGAAAATGCACCTTGCTAGGATCTTTAGATCAGCATTGGGGTTTCCTGACCAACGGGTTCCTGATACGGGCCTGGACGTAGCATCCATAATCTGGCTCGATATCTGCAACAAAGATACTCAAGTTTCATCTGCTGCTTCGAGGCCTTGAAGGATCGTAGTCTGAAGATCGACTTGAAGTTAGACGCCATGTCATTTGAATGTTCAATTTGATATTACAATGCGCAGGCTCTACCTACTCGCATTCATCCACCGGTTGGGCTCCAACTTCCACAGGCTCAGAGATCCACAATTTAGGCTCTGGTGGTTGGGCTGAAAATCGCGGACTACCTTTAAGCAGAACTTGAAGTCAAGGAAGGCACTGCAATATCCTAGACTTTTCATGCGATTGGAAAGCTTCGAGGGCCTACGCTTCAGATCACAGGAGGCGCTGCCCCATGCCGCTGCCTGACAATGCTGATCAGCAGCCAGGGGCGCACAGCTTGAGTGCATAGTCGTCCTAGCTGCCGGAGTACTTCACGGCAGGCGGGTACGGCCCTCTCGTTACATCTTCTTGTCGCTCTGTGGTGAGTGGCTGAAGCACGGCCTGAGTCGTGGACCACCTTGATATCTATGTAATTGCAAGGCATCGCGGAACTTTTGCACACGCAAAATGTTGTGCAATGGGGCAAGACGCCCGGGTGGCCGTGGACGAATATAGACTTTAACTTCGCATTATGCGGTTCACAATCACTATCAACCATTGAGCGCGTTTTTTCTTTCATTCGCCTTCATGAGATGAACTTGTCACTAAATTTGGTGTCAAAGTAGGGAGGGTTCGATGATGGCATGGTGAAGTCACAGGGGGGAATCATGCCCTTTTCTCTTCGTGCTGTGCCGCCGACGCGCGCCCGCACTCAGCGCCAGACCGGTGGGCGCAGGTATATCTGGATCTCGGAGTGAGTGCCAGCCCTCATCCTGGTGGTATCGGCAGAGTGAATGGGTTCCGAGCGAGCAAGAGAGTATCAGGCAAGCCCGCCGCGGGGCGTGAAGCACGAGTGAGGAGGGGTGATGTGCGCAAGTACGGCCATCAATGTCCCTCTGGAGCTGGTCACCGCATTGACCAGCGTGGACTTTGGGTACTGTGTACTGCCCATCCGTGACGCCCTTCCGGGTCACGAGTAAAGTGCAACCGCTGAGGAAAAGAGAAAAGATCTGCCTTTGGCGGAGGGGTGTAGATCGGCTGCTGGAATCGCCATTTTGGGTGGACTGGAGGTTGCGGGGGCGGGGCGGAATTGTGATGTTTGTTCAGGAGGTGTCAAGAGTCATGGGGGGGGGGGGGGTTACGGAGATTATTAATTCGAAATGTTGGTGTTTTCCACTTATGAGGACTTTGATTTGGTCTATCGATATGATTGATCGGGTTGATCTCCGTGGCCTTTGAATGACATCAATCTGAGTACATCATATCTGAGAAAGGCAAACGTCAGAAGGCTGGTACATTTAATTGTCCCATCGAAGGGTTTTGCGGTATGAAATCAATGTATTTCCCTATATTGAACACACCATCTTGCTGTGATCGAGAACACATTTCAATATACATCTCCGGTATTTCAAGATTTTATTTTCTTTCCGAATCTATACACCGTTGGAATGTGTTTTTTGTGTAAGTGACTATTTAGGTGAGGAGGGGAAGTAGATCTGATAAGCAACCGTCAAGGGTCCGGTTAATGTGAACGGATGAAAAAGGTAACTGGTATGCCCAACTCTAGTTACTCTACATCTGAAGGTATCCGAACTATGTGCCTCGAGGGCGAACACGAACCTGGTACGCACCTACAAGTCTGAGAGTCTTTGACTTGCAGCTAGGTAAGTTGTACCAAGGTTGTGCTATGTGGTAATGCAAGAAGCCAGTAGGCGGTTACGAGTATTAGATGACTTCAAGTGAGCAAGGAAACCAGGAAATTTTGGGAAGTAGATAATGTTGTTCGACATGTTGAAAGATGGGAGTATGAATAGTCGTTCAAAGCTGCGTGACTGCTAGACGTTCATGCCAGGGACTCTGGAATGCACTTCGGAAGACTACCCATTGGGAGATGGGAATCATATACGGATTGAATAGTGGTCGATGATTTGAACCTCTAGGGGCATTGGAACTGACTCAGTGATTCAGGTGAGTCATTTTTGAAGTCTGGTTGGTTAACCCTACCGTATCTGGATAGAAACCTATACGATTTATCGGATCCTGTCGTAATTTACTATTCGACGAACTGTAGAGGCCGGTGTCAAGCTCCAGGTCTCGAAGAACTATTGAAACTACAAGATCCATTGTCTTCAGTCCATGCTGGAGGTTCCAAAGTTCAAGAATGCCTCATAATTTTACGTAGTAAGTGAATTACTTGCGAATGTACCGGCAATACTATGAAGTTATCCACACATGTTGGATGATGATTCAACCTTTCGAGTCTCACTCTATCCAAATGAGCGGACTGCTATATCTCATGGTTCTTGCCAACCTTCCTTAGTTGGGCTTCAACAAAAGTACGGCCGATGACAGGTCTCTAACTGACGAATGTGCTTCGGCGTGACCAACTTGAAATCATCCATGGGACTATTAGCTCTGATTGACTTCTATGTTACTACAAACAACTCAATCCGGTTTGTTCACTCATAGCCTAGCAGCTGTTCTTGTTATGCCCATTCTCGCCATTAGAGCTCCTCCTGTGGTCTGATCTCAAGAACATTGCTTGTGAGTGACATATGTGGCATTAGTGCTTTCAGCCAGCTCACTTGGAAAGCTGCTCTCAGGGACTCGTCGGAGTCATTGTCTCGAAGTGGTAGAAAGAAGATAGTGGCATGGGCAACCCCGACTATACTGCTGGGGACTGAGCAGCTACGATCCGGGTGCCATCGAACTCCCACACAAGTGCCGTGCAACTTCACTTCTAGGTCCGACCCCGAATGTTCTCAGCGTTGCCACGATTCCGAGCTATAGCGGCAGCGGCAGGCGACTCTAAGTCTGCCTGATCACGTCTTCGTCTTCTTCCAGATCCCAGGCATCGCCACTGTCGCCGGCTCTCAACAATGAAGATAATCGCGGGGGGGTCGTAACAATGCTGACCACATTCTACCTGTTCAAAAGCAGACCATTGATAATGTTGCAAGCCATTCTTTCACGGCAGGGCCAGAACTTATGCTTGAGCCACGGATGGCATTGCGGCAGTCAAATTGAGCAGGGCAGACACTCAGGAACGGCGTGACCGACGAGGCCCAAAGTGTGCTCTCAACAATCAGCTGCTAGTGCGGCCGCATCGCTCACCGCCCCACGCTCCCACACGTCAAGAAGTCGGAGCAGATGAGCTGCACGCAGGCCTGCCCTGGTATCTCGAAATGCCCGATGGGTTTATCCTGTGCCGACGAGTGGATCTCATTCCGGGGCTCCACATGCTGACCAGACCTAAAGGGCGTTGACAACTGGAGTGTGGTCACAGCTGGAAGCGTGACCCGACATCGGGACGGGGACCGGGAACCTGTGACTCCACAGATAAGATACCCAGGAAAAACTTAGCGCCGCTAATTCTCCCCCCGCCAAACAGCGCTGCCCATCCCACCTCCCATTGACTCACACAGAATTAATTGGCCCATGCCGTCACTCACCTCTTTTACTTTTTTTTCTCAGAAGTACCAACAACAATCTTTCCAGCTCTTCATCCGGTCAATTGCTTCGACGCAAACTTCCTCTGTTCCGCAAAACCTCAATTGATTCCCCCCAAACCCCCTACAACATCATTGACAAAATGGCCGGCGAGAAGGGAAAGGTCTGCTTGGCGTAAGTGTTCTGCCCCTCCTTCCTCCAATTTCAAGGGCCGCGCGCCTGGCCCTGCGAAAGTCGGTCCCAAAAGTTTTGTGGAGCGAAGTTCTGCCGGACAAGGTTTTTGGCTATCACGTGCCTCATTGAGCCACAATGATCTTCAGCCACATGATGGCTGGAATATTACTGCGAAGCTGTTCTTAGAGATACAGCGGCATGGAGGAAGAAACAATAATGGATATTGATGCTAATCAATACTTTATAGCTACTCAGGTGGTCTTGATACCAGCACTATTCTGGCCTGGCTCTTGGAGCAGGGGTAAGTCATTGACCTAAGACGGACGTTTGGCAAGTCAAAGCTAACTTGGTATTCAGATACTCCGTTGTGTATGTGCTTCTCGGCCGTCTGTAATGGCAGGCGTCAGTTTGGATGACTGCCAGTCTAACATGGAAACAGCTGCTACCTCGCCAATGTTGGACAGGAAGAGGGTGAGTAGCCATGTGCTCTGTATTTCTACGCCAAAGCTAACCGAATACTAGACTGGGCTGCTGTTGAGCAGAAGGGTTCGTTGCAAACCCCCGCTCCCATCGATATATCTAGGCATGGAACCATTCGATCCAGTGAGCTAATGCTGTCAACCAAACAGCTCTTCAGATCGGTGCTGAGAAGGTATGTGAACATTATATTTACAAGCTGCCACCACGCATCCTGAAGACCGTCACTAACAAGCCCCCCTAGATGATCATTGACGATCTCAAGCGCGAGTTCGTTGAGGAGTGAGTAATCATGGAATCCATGTGAATGCTACACGGCTAACATCATGTCAGGATCTGCTGGAAGGCTGTTCAGTGCGTAAGTAAAACCGGATGTACAGCTTCAACTATGCCGATTGGCTCACGACCACCTGCACATTGTAGAACGCCATCTACGAGGACCAGTACCTTCTCGGTAAGCTTATTCAGCGACCGAAGACATTCAAATGCTCATCTCCTCCGCAGGTACCAGTCTGGCCCGCCCCATCATTGCCCGGGGTCAGATGAAGGCTGCCGCCGCCACTGGGTGAGCTGAACTGGACATCCCATTTGGGAGGATTGAACTGACATGATATCGCAAGCTGCCAATTCGTTTCCCACGGCTGCGTAAGTAATGGACAAATCCAACTCCTTTTAACTCTTGGCTAACTCTGCTCGCAGACCGGCAAGGGGTAAGTGATCGAACGCTTTTGGAAGCATGTGTCTCGCGTGAGCCTGACTGCTGACATTGTTGAACAGTAACGACCAAGTTCGTTTCGGTAAGACTGCTGGCCTGTTCATCGACAATTGACCCTTCAATACTAACGGGAAACAGAGCTTGCTTTCTACACAATCAACCCCGAGATCAAGGTCATTGCACCGTGGCGTGGTACGTAAAGCAATGTCTATGTAGTGACCTTTTCCCGACTAACGAACTTGCCCAGACCCTACCTTCTTCAACCGCTTCCAGGTAAGTCTTTGGTGCCGCTATTCTAGCTAAACTCGCATTGTAACGCGAGTATCGCCGCTGACGTCTTTGCGCTACAGGGACGCAACGACCTCCTTGACTACGCGGCCGAGAAGGGTAAGCTAGCTTTGCTTATCTTGTTGATTGTTTACTAAAACATTGTTCAGGCATCCCCGTCACCAGCACCAAGGCTAAGCCCTACTCTATGGTAAGAAATCCCCCTTCCTTCACCAACTCCCAGAACTTACGGCCATGTGCTGACTAGACATAGGATGACAACTTCGGTATTTCACCCCATCTCGGAAGAAAAAAGTACTTCTGCTGACATGAAAAGCCCACTGCTCGTACGAGGCTGGCATGCTCGAGGACCCCGATGTCACCCCTCCCGAGGACATGTGGACCAAGACTGTCTCCCCCTTGAAGGCTCCCGATACCCCCCTCGACATCACCATTCACTTTGACAAGGGTTTTCCCGTCAAGGTTGTCACTCCTCAGCAGACTGCCACCGACGATGTCGAGCTCTTCGCCCTGCTCAACGCTATTGGCAAGGAGCACGCCGTCGGCCGCATTGTGAGTTTTTTCACTCCTCAAACTTTACCACGCTGCTTGAAGAATGTGTGAACTAACACTAGACGTAGGATATCGTCGAGAACCGGTACAGAAAACTGCTCTCCTTGATGATGAAACTCAAACTGACTTGGACATCAGCATGATCGGCCTGAAGAGCCGTGGCTGCTACGACTCCCCCGCCATGACTATCCTTCGTCTGGCTCACATTTCCCTCGAGGGTCTCGTCCTGGATGGTAAAGTTCGCGCCTACCGCGACTTGCTGTCCAAGCAATGGTCGGAGTGCCTGTACAACGGCTCCTACTTCAGCCCTGAGCGCGAGTTCTTGCAGCGTAGGTCCAAGATTACCCACAATTGATGAGAACATCCGAAAGCTAACCGCGTCGACAGCGTCCCTGGACCACTCCCAGCAGCGTGTACGGAGAAATCAATCCTCTTCAGGTGATTGTGTGGTAGCTGACAGTGATCTTTCTAGGTCAACGGCGAGGTCCGCCTCCGCCTGTACAAGGGCAACGCTTACTGCCTGGGTCGCAAGTCCGACGAGAAGCTCTACTCCGAGGAGGATGCTTCCATGGACTCTCTCACCACCTTCGACCCCTCCGAGACCGTAAGAAGGCCATCCTCAGAATCGATCGAAGAAACTTGTATACTAACGACATGTGACAGTCTGGCTTCATCACCATCAACGCCATTCGCCTCAAGAAGGTACGTGTCAAACAAATGCGTCGCACTTTTTGTGTTCACTAGCTAATGATCCCATAGTTCGGTCTCCAGAAGGCCGAGGCCGGTCTCAAGTTCTAAGGAGAAGACGCTTGAATTCGGAAAATGCACCTCGATCGCTTCTATGCTCAGACCGACAGGTCATTGTAGATCTGGAAGGTCGATGGTAACAATACAAGGATTCTCTTTCTGATCAATGTGACTCACCTTGCCACGACGCCGTGATGTTTCGTTCAACATACGTATCTCATTTTGTGAACACAACCTTGTCCATAGCTCGGATTCTGCTTTCACCAGTGCCTAGAATGCTAGGAAGGGACCAACCTCGTATCATATGAGAGGGAGCAAAGGTCATAGACCGCTAAGGCGGCATGGTTAAACTGGCGCGCGAGAGTACTTCACATAGACAGGTCAATCTCAGGATTATGATAACCTAAGAGATACAGGGACATCGAATGGACAGTTGCAATGGTCTCTCCAGAGTCTATAGAAACATTTTAAGCTGAGAGAATAACCAACTAGTAGCCGAACTTGTTTACCTAAACCTCTATTGCCCACGAACTTCAATGAAGAAACTCTATTTCTTGTTTCCAACGTCTAAAAAGACACGTAGTCAGCACTCTTCAGATCATCACTAACCGTACTTTGACCAGTTGTCAACTTACTGAATTGGAAATGAATAATATCACCATCTTGAACAACCTACAAGCAAAGAAAAGAGCGTCAGTGTGTGCCAGCCTTTTGGGAAGTAAACCAGGTATAACTCACATATGACTTTCCTTCCTGGCGGTACTTGCCAGCAGCCTTGATGGGACCCATGGACTTGCCGCCCTCGCAGAGGTCGTGGAAGTCTTGGTAGGCAACGACTTCAGCCTTGATGAAGCCCCTCTCAAAGTCGCTGTGGATGGCGCCGGCAGCTTGCGGAGCAAGGCAATTTCTCGGAATCGTCCAACATCTGATTTCCTTCTCACCCGCTGATAGAAAGTTTAGTATGGTCACCCAGAGCCAGCAAAAAGAGTACACGTACCAGTGAAGTAATACTGCAATCCAAGCTTCGTGAACCCTTCCGTCACAATCTTATCCAACTTGGACTTGACCTTGCTCTCCTTGAGGAACTCCTCCCGCGCGGCCGGGTCGTCTTTCAAGCTGTGCAGCTTCTCCTCGAACTCGACGGAGAAGGGGATGATGTCGCGCGGGACGCCGCCGTGCTCGGTGACCCACTTGGCGATGGACGGGAGGTACTTGCTCTTTTGGCGGAGGTAGTCCTTCATTGTCAGGTTGACGAGGTAGATGACGGGCTTGGTGGTGATGAGCGACATCTTTTCGTTGATGAGGGCGATTTCGGCGGGGGTCCAGCTTCCGTCGCGGACTGGGGTGTTCTTCTCCAGCATCTGGTTTACGTGTGTAAGTACCTTATGTTGCGTGGTCGAAACGGTTGGAGATTTGAGCCTGGAAAGTTTGGACTTACAGCTTGGATCTTTGTCGTTGTCTCTGTGAAGAGGGGCAGCATCTTGTACTTGCCTCCTGCCTTCTTGACGATCAACTCTTCGGCAACAATGGTCTTGGCAAGAATGTCTAAGATGGGTGTAAGCCGTCTGAGCCAAATTTTGAGAGAAAAGTACATACCGAGGTCCTTCTTGCAAAGCTCGTTCTGAATGGTTTCTAGAAACGGCCCAGTCAGCTTCCTCAGTATGAGAGAAGTGCCAGAGTTGCATGAACTAACCCAAGTCACGGACGGGATCAACCGAGTCATCCACGTGCAAAACCTCGTCGTTGTCAAATGCTCTGTTACACAAACCAAGTCAGTCGCCAACTCATCAAGACGTAGTCCTTCAGCCACAAATGATGGTTGTAGTAAGTCAACATACCCACTTCCTGGCACCCCCTGTTTCTGGCACCCACAAAAACGCGAAAATCCACCACAACCCAATGCCCACCCCCAACCTCCTTTTATCACAACATTTTCAATTCGCGTCCAAATGGGCTCATCTTTTGCACATGTCTTCTTCTATATATAATGCCTCAATATACCGAAGATCAGCTTCGTCAGGCTCTCGAGGA